GGGTGCTGTATGAGCCCAGCAGTATTACTTCTGGAGTCCCCCTTTCTCTTCTTGGCTTTATGTTACCAGGGAGAAGCTGTAAAGCTGGGAGCAAAACCCAAAAGGCAAGTGATTAAAGGCAGCCATAGAGGTGCATCTCCTACCAAAGCCTGAGAGATGAAGAGCCACAAAAGACTGAAGTATTTGTGGCTGTGACATTCTTGAGGAATACAAGCAGCAAGGTTAGCAAAAGCTGGCAAGGCTGACCCCTATAAGCTGTCATTCAGGTATCAGGAAGAAAAGTTTCCTGGACATCAGTTTGCTGGTGCCTACTCCGGCAAAACATTAAGGAAATGGCTAATGTTGTTATTTTGGATTCTTTCCACTAACTCAACAAACCATTAAGGAATTTATTACAAGAGAATACTGAGTAGGAGGAGTGGGTAAAACTATTATGTGCCTTGTAGCAAACATGCTTTTATGGACATGTCTGCAAGGATCCTAGTGTTCATGTGGACGTGAACTCCACCTGCAATTGGAGGTGGTATGGAAAATTGCAGTTTCATATGGAAAAGCAAAAGGGCAAGTGTTTTTCTGTCTTGTGGCATGTGCAGGCAGCAGGGCAGGCAGGGTGCATGCACCCTGAGGCTGGTGACTGCAGCAGGAGCTGACAGCTGAAGAGCAGCTGACTTTTCAAGGGAATGCACTGCATCGCTGGGTGATGGGGATGACTTGTCTCCATCCTTAGTGTCTGTGATGTCTTTAGAAATGGGGCTCCAGGTTGCTGGGAGGCCCAGATTTTATAGCATTATGTTGGGCAACATTATTCTCTTTTGTCAAATAAGTAGGAAGGACAAGGGTGTGAAGCCCTAAGTACCAACAGCTTTTCTAGTGCTGCTATTTCTTGGCACTAGGGTGGGAAGTGGTGACACAGCTGTATCCCATTCCTTTCCTTCTCTGCAATCACAGCAGCACACTGCCATGCGTGAATATGAAAGCCAAGCACATAGAAGGATGTCTGTGAGTGTGCGTAGGTTTGTGAGTACATGTCTGCTGGTGCAGGTAATCCCACAGCAGTGTTATGGCTTTGGTGCAGCTCATGCTTGCCACCACTGCACTTTGTTGTACAAGCAGCACCCAGAGCTGCAATGTGAATGCTGCCAGGACCAGGACCAAGGCTGGGACAGAATCTCTTGCAAGCTGTCAGCTTCTTGTGGTGGGTGCAAAGCTTGTCAGACTGCAAGTGCTGGTGTTTAACTATCCAAAGACATGGCAGGGACATCCTGGCTTTGCTGAAATTAGTGGGATGGCAGCGTTGGGCTTGGTGGGAATTCAAAAGGTCCATTGTGTGAAAGTCATGCCAGCTAATATTTATGAGCCTGAGTGTCTCATGCTAGGACCCTAACTAGCACTGAGCAGGTCTGTGTTTGAGGTAACTAGTGCCCGAATGTCCCAGACAACCCCTTCTCACAGCAGGAAGGGCACATGCTGAGCACCTTTGCAAACCTTTGCAGTCAGCTGAGAGGAGCTGAAATGGCACTAGGAGCTCAGAGCTATGTAGGAGGATGGGCTGCAGCCATGCTGCTCAGCTGGTATTTTCATTATTTTTCGAAAAATCCCAGACTGGTTTGGGTTGGAAGGGACCTTAAAGCTCATCCAGTTCCAGCCCCCTGCCATGGGCAGGAGCACCTTCCACTACATCAGGTTGTTCAAAGGCCTGTCCAACCTGGCCTTGAACACTGCCAGGGATGGGGCAGCCACAGCTTCTCTGGGCAACCTGTGCCAGGGCCTCACCACCCTCACAGGGAAGAACTTCTTCCTCAGATCTCATCTCAATCTCCCCTCTGTCAGTTTAAAGCCATTCCCCTTGTCCTGCCCCTACCCGCCCTTGTCAAAAGTCCTCTCCAGCTTTCTTGTAACCTCAGCCTGTATTCCACATTGTAATTAAAATTCCAAAGCTTTTTGTTCTTTAACAACAGTGAATATGCTAACAAAACTCAAGAGCAGACTATAGTGATAGGGCAAGGGGTAACGGGTTCAAACTTAAACAGGGGAAGTTTAGATTGAGTATAAGCAGGAAATTCTTTACTGTAAGGGTGGTGAGGCACTGGAATGGGTTGCCCAGGGAAGTTGTGAATGCTCCATCCCTGGTGGTGTTCAAGGCCAGGTTGGACAGAGCCTTGGGTGACATGGTTTAGTGTGAGGTGTCCCTGCCCATGGCATGGGGGTTGGAACTAGATGATCTTAAGGTCCTTTCCAACCCTAACTATTCTATGATTCTATGTACGCAGAAAAAGACAGCTTTGGGAGTGAACTAGGAAGCTTGTTTCGGGGATTCCTGGTGAGCATGTGCTTCAGAAACCTAATGGGACGAGGCACCCGCAGGTCCTGCAGCAGTGTCTGAAAGGCATTCCCTGCTCCACACCTGTGTCTTGGAGACAACGGGAATCAAAACCCAGTTAAAAATCATGGCAAAATGCAACATTTCCTGTGCTGGGTACTGGAGTAACACAGCTAAATGTCTGGAAATGCCACTGTGATGTTAGGGCCGAGCCTTTGCAGAGCATCCCTGAAGCAGGCTCCTTGTGGGGACAGAGAGGCAGGCAGGCAGCCTCCTAGGTGTAGCAGTACCCATGCCCAATGTCACAGTGCCAGAGAACAAAACTCTTCAGGCAGCATGATGGATGTCAGAGCTGTGTGGGCTGCTGCCCTGGGTCAGTTGTCACCTTGGTCCCACAGCTTGCAAGTCACACAGACACATGGTGGTATTTATCAGCAGTTAAATACTAGCATGTTTATTTTCAGCTCTCTGGCCTTCCTCCCATCATGAACACTAACAGTTGTAATATCCAACCCCTGCAGTGATGGCTGAGAAGTGAGTCAGTTCATGATTTCTGCGCCACCAGAAGCCCTGCAAAGGGTGGCGAAAGGAAGGGGCATAAAGCCCAGTGGGGATCCCTCCCTGGAAGGATTACCTCCATGTGCATAGTGCATGGTTGAAGGTACACACACAGAAAGGGGAGGGCTCCCATCCACAAGGACTTTGCCTACAGAAGACTTGAGCCCATGCCTGTGCCCACAGATCTTGCCACGTTGTGATTTTTAGTGAGAGAAGTGGCTAGAGAAAACAGAATAAAATTCAAATCAATTATGCTGTTCAAAGTCAGTCTCTAAATTAACCCACTTATGCTGCGGCAATCTTTGCTTAATGCCTAGAAGTCAGGAAATGATTGTTAAAGCAGTGGTTGGGGAAATTAGTTTATAATGACAATAACCAACAATGGAAGATGCTATTCGGAAAGTAAAGTGGTGGTGGGGAGGTGTGGGGAGAGAAAACATTCTATTATTCATCCTTCAAGTGAAATATATTGCTTAGCTATTAGAGGATAATGCACCAGAGCTAACCAAACACAGTGCTGCCTCCAGGTCTCAGTGAGGAAGAAGTCGGAACTTGCTTATCATTCTTTACTAAGGAAACCTCCCAGTACTGTTATTATGGAAGTGCAGCTCTTAATAACCATTGCACAGCCATCTTCTGGAACAGTTTGCCCACACAACATCTCTGCCTCTGTCAGGCAGGCTGCTAAAAGCCTATTTTTATATTTTCAAAATTCAGGCTTCAAATCAACTTGGTGCCGCAGCTCGGCTTCAGGGCCTTGATAGATTTCGCAGAATCATAGAATAGAATTTAGCCCAACCCCCCTGCAATGAGCAAGGACATCTTCAACTAGACCATGTTGCTCAGAGCCCTGTCCGACCTGACCTTGGATGTTTCCCGGGATGGAACATCTGCCACCTCTCTGGCCAACCTGTGCCAGCATCTCACCATCCTCATTATAAAAAGTTTATTTGTTAAATCTAGTCTGACTCTCCCCTCTTTTAGTTTAAAACAATTACCCCTTGTCCTGTTGCAACAGGCCCTGCTAAAAAGTTTGGCCCCATCTTTCTTGTAGGCCCCTTTAGGTACTGGAAGGCTGCTATAAGGACTTCCCAGAGCCCTCCTCCAGGCTGAACAAGCCCAGCTCTTGAAAGCAGCGATGAAGAACTGCATATTGACAATTTCAAGATGGGATATTGAAAATATTTTAAAACATTTGTTCCAAAATACCTGAGTAGTGGATAGTGAACAGCAAGCAAAAATTCAGCTAATAGCCCTAGACAAATTTCACTCGATGCCTGCATGTCAGGTTGTCTTTATGGGGACAAAACCGGTCTGAAACATGAAGGATGCTTGTAAGTTTTGACTCATAGTCATGCTACTACAGTGAAGTCATTAGTATCTGGGGTGGTTTGCATGCGTCTTGTCCCAGATATCTCTGAATCAGTGTCTGGCTTTCTTGCTTTGTAGGATACTCCATAGTGAGGCTTTATTTTTGAGCTCAAACTCCTCTCTTCAAACCATATTGTTCGGATCATCTCTGCTGGAAAACAGATGCATCCTCCAGTGGCCCACCTCACATATCAGAACATAAAGAATATATTTATAAGATACCCTGCTCTGAAAATGCTTGGATATAATTTCTGAGGCAGGATGCTTGCTCGTTAACACTGGAAGAACCCGTTCCCAATATTGCAGCCCACGCGCTGCTCAGAAAACATTTCTTTGAGCTGTGTCAAAATTTTACAAAAGACTTGGAAGAAGTTTGATTTCAACCCAGTGGGAAGATCTCACATTGTTTACACCCGTTGCCTCAATCCCACTGTTATTATTCATAGCCCCTCACATTCAGAATTGTACGTAAACCCTCACAAAGCCCTGAGCTTAGCTTAAAACCCACCAGGAATGCTCACTGGTGCTGTGCTTTCCAATAGTGCAGCCAAGACACACTTTCAAACTTTGCTTCACGACCTGAAGAAGTATGAAAAAAAATCACATTTTCTTAAAGTGCAGATTTCCCCAGCAAACTGAAATCCGTGCAGTTAGCAAAGTCCAGAAACCACAGTTTTAAATGGAAAGAGGGTTGGTAACTGCCAGCTTTGTAGCAAAAGCATATTGTAGGAGTTGTGCAGCTATATTTACACATACAAATGTATTAAATTATACTGATTAGCTAAATATCTTCCAAGAACGCCAAGCAAACGTCGTAACACAAGAGCTACAAGCACTGAGCCTTCAATATCACATCAGGAAACTCTAAGCAATGAAGGCATTTTCTCCTTTGTGCTCTCCAGGTTTCCAAATACCACATGCTTCCACAATGACCCAGAGGAGGATCATGAATTGGTTCTTAATCATATTTGTCATTCAGAAAGTGGTCCTTGACAGCCTTTAGAGATGCCAGAGAGCACCTCTGTGATGCCAGAGAGCACCTCTGTGATGCCAGAGAGCACCACAAGCTCTTGGTGGGCTTCAGGGTTCACATCAAGGGAGTAATGGCAGTTTCCACCAGGCAGGAGCTGCCCCTTTGGGATCCCAGTGGTGTTCTGCAGCCCTTTGCAGCACTAGGGGCATGCACAAAGACAACAAGCAATGGGTGGGATCTAAAAACAGCAACGCATTTTGTGCTACTAATACCAAGACCTGGATTCCAGATGAGGGTGCAGGGTGATGAAGCATGCAGTTCATACTGACAGCGACAACCTGCCTTCACTCAAACCCTGACAGAGCCCAGAGCACAGGGGCTGTTTGCACATCTCTGCTCCAGGGTTGCTCCAGGGTAGTTGCAGCCCAAGGTAGCTGAGGTATAGTTCAGCTGCAACCCAGCTCTCTCCTGCATAGGCAGCATTTTTGGTGTTTGCTCTTTGAAAGCAGTACTACTGCTTCTGTGTTGTCACTCGTGTCACGGCATGTGCTGCATCCCACCAAAGCACTGTGACCAGGGGTTGCTGCAGCTGCCGTATCCCAGTTACGGAGTGCTCAGGTTGTCTCCGCTCTAACCCACCAGCAGAGGACACGGGGAAGTTATTTTGTGTGCCTACGCAGAGTTAGTTTAGCTGAGAGAGGGACGTGGCACTGAGGCATAAATCTATTAACTCTAAGCAAACAAAGAGCAGCTGAAGGCTGCAGGCAGTACCAAAATGAGGTAAATGATATAAGCTGGGGATAAACCACAAATTACTCAGGGACTTATTCCTTAGCACTTCCACTGTGCCTGTTAGTGCCTTGGCCTCAGGGATGTCAAGTGCAGTCAATTAAAATAAAAGTTACTTAAGGCTGTAGCCAAAATTAACCCCTTTCATGCAACAGTTTGCACCCACTGGCCTGCGGAGGGCACGCAGATGAGCAGAGCTACCTTCCTTGTAATGAAGCAAATGAGGAGCCCCTGCTTCATGGCCTGTGCACTTCAGGACACTTCAGGTTCAAGCTACAAGGACAGTAATAGATGTTGGGTGGCTGTTACAGTCCCACTGAGCTGCAAGGTGCCCTAGGCACATGCTATAGAGGACAATTTAAACCTGATGAACTGCTGTTTTATCACCCTTCTTCCCCTTGTAGACCAATGACCCTCTCATGTAAGGACTCAGTGTCCAATCTTTAATCACCAGATTCAATCTGTTAGTGCCAGATTTCTTCTCCTCTCTTGACCCTAAAAGCACCGCGACAACATGAGTGGCATGACGTGTGTGGGTACCGACGGCATGTAGGAGTGGGTGTGTGTTCCATATTTCACCAATGAAACACCGTTTGCGCAGACAGGCTGTTTCAGGTCACAACCTTACAGGGTAACACCCGCATCATAAAACTGCAGTGCTAAATCCAATGCACATCTCAGGCCCATCAGGAATCGTAGATTGTACTGTGAGCTGGAGAAACGCCTGATCTGTATGTTCATCTTAAACACACACCAAGCAGAGACTCTGTCACGAGAGATGAGTTATTCTGGCAAATCACAACTTTTAGGCTGTTGAGTTTCTTTTCTTTTCTGTCCCACAGCCCACCTGGGGCCTGCTTTCAGCTCCTTAGCTGCTTTCTGCATTTTAAAAAGGAAGAGATTTAAAGCACAGTGCAAATCCAAAAAGTGCTGAAAAGTGGTTTGAATTACTCACAGGAGGAGCCACCTGCGGGGGAAGATGTGTTTCATGCAGGCAAGCTGAAATGCAATTTCCCCCTGTGAGGGAAAGGTGATGGTCAGTGAAGCAGATGGATACCGGAAGACACACGGCTATTGCTCTGAGATGCGCTCAGAGGTGGCACTGCTTCCTTGGGCAGGCCCTGGAGTTAGGACCAAGGAGGATGCCAGCTGATGGCTGGATCCTGTGGAGTTGGCACAAGGCTGCTGTGTGTGTTGGTCCTGCAGTGGGGCTGCCCTGTGGTCTCAGAGGCTGGCTGAAAACTTCGATACAAGGACAGAAAGTAAAAAATAAAGAAATTAAATGGAGCGTTCTTCATTTTGTATTCAGTGTCAACGAAAAGAAAGCTTTCCTGTGGGATGCAGCTATGAGATTAGGAGAAACCAAGTTGAATTATTAAAACATTTATTCACGCAAGTACATGTTGAGCTCTCCAAGGACCAAACACATCCACTTAATTAAAACAGAACTTCTCAAGGACCCTTTATATTGGCAGTAAGTGACACATTTAATACTTGTGTCCTGAAAGGGTCATACATATCCATAGTGGTGGGTCTGAAAAGACAAAAAGCTTTTCTGTCTTCCTGCTGTACTCCCTGCCAAAAAGCACCTCCTCATCACGCTTGGTCTGAAGGCAGCATGATGAGGAGGAGGCTGTTGCCTATGGGCTTTGCTGTTGACAGTTGGTCAATAGCAATGGTAGGTTGTGCTTTGGTGAGAACAGCTTGACTGTTGTAAAAGAGCAACAACAACAGCCAAAATCTGACAGGCAAGGCAGGCAAACATTCTTAGGGATTAAGAGGTGTTGGTCTCCTGTAGAGAAGTGGAAGGGAGGAGGATGCAGCCCTTTTGAGAGTGCTTGACCAGGGTTTCTCTCCCTTATGGTTCCCGTGATTTGCTTTTTCAAGACTTCTTGTGGCAGATGTGGAAGGGGCAGAGAAGAAAATTCTGCATTACTCATGTCCCACAGCAAATCTAGAGAAGGATGGACGTTTTATCATCACCTGTTAAACCTATATGGCTTTGCAATAGTTACTGTCTGCCAACTCTGGCGAGAGTTTGACTTAGGAGAAGAGCAGTGGTGATTCAGGAGGAAGGTCTGGCTCCACTCCCCTTCCCAGTGCCCTGGCAAGACACAGTGACTCACAGATTCACTGTGGTCAGGGGAAGAGAGCAGCACATAGCAAGCTGTTAACATAGCTTTTCATCCCACAGGTATGGCAAAAATATGCACTTCTCAGCTAGATCAGGTTGCTCAGAGACACATCCAACCTGGTCTTGAAGAGCCTTGGGTATGCAGCTGCAGCAAACCAGCCCATGGTAGGTGATGCTGCCTGGAGGGATCAGATCCTGCTGCCTCCTGTTCCTCAGAGAGGGAGGGAAGACGGGGTTGTGCCAGGTGCTGGGCTTCAAACACTTCTGAAGTGACAACAGAAGGCTGCATTAGTTGGATAGGAAAAAAAAAATTACAACCCACTTGTGTGCAGGTAGTGAGAACTGGGACCTACTGAATAAACACAGTGATGGTGATGGAATTGGGCACGCGATGGCTAGGGTTCACTGAAGAACAGAAGGAGACAAGCCAAGATGAGGTGTGGAGTGACCCACAGAGTGTACATAAACTTGAATTCAACAAGGAAAAGGATACCAGGGAACATTTCTACTTAAAAAAAGGTTTTAAGAACTTAGGATTTATGTGCACTTTCAGTTTTTAATTAAAAATTATTCACAAATGTTTTCCTTTTGGCAAAGCCTGATTTAATAATTTATGGGAAACTTCTCATGCTACATGAAGAAATCCACTTTGTTAAGAGGACCACTATATATCCATTCTCCAACTTGTCATCTACTGCAATCTTTACTGTAGTAAAATTAGTCAGAGCTGAGAAACATTAAGGTACAGCTCCAGGTTTGTGTGCGTGGATTTTCACGCTTGTAAGACAGTAACCTATTCTGCAAGCAGTAGTGCCAAGAAGGAAACTTGAGGCTTTCCATCCTCCGCAATGGATGTTACTATCTAACACTGAGAAGACGCGAGGGCCCACTCCACATATGCACATAACCCAACAGTGAAAGCATTTGCACGCTTGGAGTTTTTCACTCCATCTCAGCACTAAGTGACACAGTTCCCCTGTCTTCAGCCCTCCCCAGCACATACACAAAGAGAAAAGCTTAGTCACTACCTGATGATTTTTGCTTCTGTCATGGGTCCCGCTGCACCCCCTACAAAGAGCTGTGATGTATTCCCATTCTGTTAAGAACTGCTGAGGGCAAGTTGAGATAGAAGACGTAAAGCTGCTGGTCTTCAAATTGAAATGACTGCTCTTAAACCACAGTCAGACCTTAGGAGCTGTCTTTCCTGAACAGCAGTGATAGTACATGCTCAGAAAGCTTAATGAAACATGGTTCACTTTATGCCCCTTCTCTGCTCATTCCCATGCCTAGTACATCTTCAGAAACCGGCACTGCCCAAGTTCAACAGTCTCAGCGGGAATCCGGTCTTTGATTCTGCTTTAAGAGAGCCCTTCCTGGCAGCACACCCTTGCTAGCTATCTAACCTACGGAAGTAGGTCAAGAAGGTAGGATAAAACAACTAGTCAAGAGATGCGGGTTATTTAATAAGGAGTTAAAAGCCATTTCACAAAACACATTTTCTGCCTTTTCTAGGATGTTCCTGCATCTTAAAAAAAGTGGGAGTGAGTGATAACTTCATACATCAAAACACTTCTTGCTGGCAGGTTAGCCAAGGCATTTAACTTACCATCTATCAAATTTTCAGTTTCCATGTCTCCACCTTGCCGGTGCAGAGAGAGGCTGGGGACCAGTTTACTACATTCAGCCACCTGAATGAGTAGGAGCCTACTTCTAGACAGAAAGCAGATTTCTGGATCGCTCTGGCACTGAGCAATGGATTGATGCCTCTGAACCCCCACCCCATACTAGGTCCCCCCACTGTTAGGATTTAAGAGCAGGAGTTGTTAAGAGATATCTGAGTAATCAGTGTCAAAGTTAAGAATTTTCAGTGTCATTCTGGTTGTTAGAGAACTGTTTGGCTTTAACCCTGTCAGCATGCTGCCTGATCCTGGGGCTTCTGTCTGCAGTACCAATTGCAGGTTTTGCAGCTCCCATAGAGGCAGATGAGTCTTCACTGGCAATGGACCCCTAGATAGATGCAGCTTGCAGTCTGGTGGAGAGCTCTTGCTCTGTGTTTACACAGAGTTTGGATGATATTTGGTTTAGTGAAGTACTGATTGCTTTCAGGGCTCTTCCCAGACACACACACACCCCACCAGTTGAATCAAAAGCATCAGCCATAAAAGAAAACTGGGAAGAGGATACAGCCTTTCACACTAAAAAGCTTGTCCGATGTTATGTGTATGAAATCACTCCACGAGCACTGTGAGACAGCTGCCATGCCAGGGACATGGCATCCAACAAGCAGCTTGAACCAAGGCGCCACATTGCTGAGCTAACAGCAACCTCCTCAGGTTTGCTTGCTGGCTGTGTTTACATTCAGAGTTTGATTGCTGCCACAGAGCTGCATGACTGGAAGAGATCATCAATCGGAACAAGCCTCTGCTGAAACCTGTGAAGTCATTTGCAGCATCACAGCAATCCAAAAAGTTGATATTATTTCAAATTATTTCAACTGGGCTTAATTTAAGAAGACACAAAAGGTACCCATAACATATTTAATATTTAATCGCAAGAAGTCATCTCTGATAGCCGGGAAGGCTGCATTTAAGTTGCTGAAAAAAGTATTTTGACTTCCCCTTTTACAAGCATTAGTCTTTTTCTTCAGTTACACAATGCAACTCACTCAGAGACATCCTGATCGTTTTCATGGACAGCTACAGCAGGCAGGTCACTGTAGACTTCAGCTATAGGGTACCTGTGTAAAAGTCCAAGAAGTTTAACATTTTTCCACAGAAAAAACTATTTGTGTCTTGTGGATGCTGACGTTGCATTCTGAAGTGGAAAAGCCATATTAACCTGAAAAGATTCTCCTATTTTCTCAGCCTTCCTTTTATTGCCATTATGAAGCTTTGAAAACTAGGCTCTTTTTTGAAAACTGGCTGAGATTCTATTCAAATATTCTCTCCGTTTTATCACCAAGTGGCAAAATTAAGTACTTCTGCACCAGAAAGTACTTCCTTTTAACCACGATGTCTGAATTTATGAGTCTTCTTTTGCAAATGTGTTTTAAGTTTTAAAAGGATTTATCTCTCCAGTTGCTAGCAGTTGGGAATAAACCATGGCTCTAGACTCAGAAATTCAATATCAGGGCAGTACTTCTTACAATACCTTCAGAGGCCAGTCAAAGAGACCCGAGAATATGTCAGAATGTAAGAGTTCATGTACCAAAAAAAAGGGAATCTTCTGAGCCAGTGTTTCTATTCTCTGTCTCAGTTACTTGCCAGGATCTATGAATTTGCTCTTGCCTTCAATGTTTTTCATTATTTTCATCAGAGTAAAAAAAAGCTACTATGGAAAGATGAGTTGTATTTGATGGAAGAAAATGAACAGGAAAGGGAAACAAAGCATACAAAATGAATTTTTATTAAATGAAAGAAAATCTGTTTTGTGGGTCAAATATGAAATAGAATATACAAAAACTTTACATCAGATCTCTTGTCAAAGAAATTAAATCCTACCTAGACTGAAGTAGCACTCGTTCTTTCCAAGACAACACAAATGGGTGAATGTTTGTTATGGCAATACAGGATCACACAGTATGCTGTGCTAAATTTCTGGTTACAGAGAAGAAAAGTTAAAAATCTAAATGATGTCTCTAAAGAACCCAACTATTCCACAAAGTAACTTGAAAACATGAGTTTTGATCATTATGTATTCTCCTTGAAGCAAATGACAGATGGGGTCAAGTGCAGAGTTCACCAAGCTTGCATATCACATTACCTGTTTCTATACAAATATAAATTGTTCTTTTTTTTTTTTTTTATTTTAAAAATCCTTTACACTTGATAGCATTTATTTGTGGAAAAGGATGACCAGTTCATCAGGTTCCTGCTGAACTACCCAGACAATTTCAACTCCTTTATCTCCTCCTTCCTTTTTATTTTTGAAGACCATTACCCATAAACTGCAGACTGGAATACTCTTGAAAAGCTGTTGTATGTTTAATCATGAATCTTTGTACCACTGTCCTGTATATGAAGGTTTTGCAGAGCTCCTAACATGTCTTTGGCATAGCACACCAAGTCCCATTTAATACTTTTTTTGTTTAAAAAAGTATATTTTCCTTTAATAAAACACCTTAAAAACATCTATTTCTGATTTTGTAAA